ATGAAGGAGGGGTATAGAGAGCCCGCGCGTAGTCAGGGGTATCAGTACACCGTATTCACTATATATCACTGAGGCTATAAACCACCATGCTACTCTCCGTTCAACAAGGGGAAAGCGTCATTTCATTGTTGCTTCAGTTTGTCACGTGCACAGGGGCAGAAAGAATTCGGCGTTTGACGGGCGCGAGGAAAGGGGTAGCACGTAATTTTGGCTGTCCTGATATTGATAAACACTTCTATAGAACTCATTCGTTTCTATATTTTTTCACCTAACTGGGAATCCGAACAAATACCATTATTATGTCGAATTCAGTCGTTTTATACTTTGTTTTACTACCTCTCATTTGATAATGAGCGACAAAAAAAAAAAAGTACATCACCCCTTCCGGCAACGTTAAAAAATATGATGATTTTTTTTTCCCGCGAATTTTGCGACTTTTTCCCCCGAGCGACTAGGCGACGTGTTGTATTCCTGTTACGATTATGGGATATGTAAATGTTGGTCCCATATTGTCGTCTGCGCGGTCGGCTGGGTCTTTGGTAATTTGTCGCTAAAATGCTGAGTAAAACTGGTGAAAATTTACCGAACGTGTCATGACTATATATATAATTCATATAATTGTGGGTGGTATTCGGTGTGCTAGTGTGTTATCTCCCAATTGCAAAAGTTGAAAGCTTTTGATAGGAATGACTAATGCTCCGATAAATAATTTGAGATTGTCTTCCACTGCATGCGTAGCGGTTTACGCAAGAAATTGGCGATTGCTATCCGATAAGCAGAAGGTGAGATGTAATTTTGTGTCGAGCCGTTTTCAATTTTTGCTCGTGGCAACACATTCGCGGTCTAATCCTCGTTTTCCCCCTGCATGTTGCCAGATAACTATCAAAATGACCCCTTTCTGGTTTACAATAGCTTCGTAAAATATTTGGTTTGAAACAAATATTGTTTTGAATTGGTGGTACACAGGTCGGATTCTACTGTGTCGCAGTCCCCGTATCATGTGAAGACGCGTGCGAAATCGACATTAATACAACATCCCTTGTAGTTATTAGCGCACATGTTCAATATCATAACGTTGATAGAACATCACCTTAATACGCAGTGTTATCATATTTGCGCACAAATATACCCATCCAAACACAACATCCGGGTATTCTCGCGTCTGTCGTACACAATATGATTCACTACTTCATCAAATAAAAAAAAAACGATATATAAATGTATTCATTGGTTCGCCAGAGAGTCTCGAAGATGGAATAAGGCAAAAAATTGAGCAATGCGATTTCAGTAAACATTTTATCAGTCCTCCCTCACGCATTTTTGTTTTAACAAATATTTCACGAGGCATCTTCTAAAAATCCCAGAGGCTGCACTATTAAAACTCGTGAACGCCATGCTTTGAGGCTCGGTAATTGGAGTCCATAACGCAGTGTACAGCGGCAAGATAAGCACACTTTAAAAATATGATAAAGCAAAATCAAGCTACTTTTCTCTTTATACTCCAATGGGTAAATTCACGTTTTTTTAATGTATAGATATTCAAATACGTAATGAGTAGAAATCATATTCAATCCGCTGAGCTATAAATAGAAGTCAAATAATAATCTAAGGCAACAAGATATATTGCCGATTCGATTTTTTTATCTCTTTTTTTTTGAACATTTTAAAAAGTGCTTAGGTGAATTAACTAAAACGAATCGAGTTCTTTTGACTGGCAACTGGGAGAACATTATATGACCTAGATTTGGCCAAGCATTGAATCCGTATTTAATCGTTGATTTGATTGACGCGGCGTTTGTTTACCTTCGTCTACATCCGAGTTTCGACTTCGAACTACTAGTGCGCATGATTAATACTAGATGCTATTCGTTGACATTTAATTTGATCGTGATTGTTGAAACTTGTTACTCGCAGTGCAATCAACCCATCAAGTTCTTCAACGCTATTTTATTTTTAATATAATCTGCCCTCCTGGCTTACTGAGGATTGGGCATTTGAGCTATCGAGGTATCGTACCCTCAGTCGACGTACTAGAAATAAACATGTCTAAATTGTCAATTTCCTCGACACTGCTTAAAAATGTATTGCTTTCAGAGAATACCCGGTTTTGTAAGTTTCATAAATATTTGTTAAGCGGAATTCATCCCCAGCGAATCGAGGAATTGGCCACAGTGGCTATTAACATGCATTAAAAATTGGAAATGTAACAGTGGGGTATGCTTTTGATTCTTTCTATCTCCGTGTGCGCCTGTTTCATTGTAAGTCTTGACGTAACGTTTATGTGTATTCCATGGTGTGACGTAGTCGTCATTTGCTAATGACGTTCCAAGGCATCAAGTCTCGCGTAGACCGATGAGCTTGCGTGCACGTAGCAACTTACTTTGACGGCATGACGAATTGGCGATTTGCCGTTACGATGTCAACTGCGGGCTAAGCTTAGTAGATGCGCCAACTGATAGCGGTTCTCTGTACGCATTTCAAGCGTCGTCGTTGGTCGGGGATGATGACGACGGAGCAAGTTGGAAGGTGACGTTTGTAAATAGACCGGGTGAAATGTAGATGTTTGTCACGTAATTCACTCGCAGCGTTGTCGGATTAATCCCAGATTTAGGGTTTCTAATCAAGCTACATATTATTAACGGAATTTATCGTAATCGCCTTTCTTTGTTCGTGCTAATTCATCGTATACTGTTACTACTCCAAGGGAAATCTTGGCATTTCCATGATGATGATGATGATGATGATGATGGTGGTAAAAATCATTTGATTGTAATTGTGGTGCGACGATGTGTCCAGGCACGGCAATTTTTCCTGTGTCTTTACCGCCTCGACACTATAGATCTGATTTAAATCGTTCGTAATCCGCATTTTCGTATATAGGGACTGAGGTAATGTGGTCTGAGTATAGTTCAATCTGGGTGACACGGCGAGTTAAGATGGGATTTAGGCCCACTCATGAAGTTCACTTCCGTACAGGGAGGTTAAAGTTTTAGCTCACACATTTTCTAAAGTCTCCGGCTATTCTTATCGTCCCCCCTCAAAGTATTTTGCTTCTCGGCGCGGCAATTAATTACAAGAAAATACAATTTAGTGTTATGAGTCAGATTTCCAATCAAATAAAGCGTTCTCCCAGGCGAAATAACAGTGCTCATGAAAACTGGTTTATTGTGAGCGATTACGCTGTACCATGATGCGTCGTTACCGGGCATATACAGAAGGGAAAGCGAGAAAATGGGTAAAACTGTCAGTGGGAAATTGGTGAAATTTGTCACCGGTTAATTTCCCTGTCAGTCAGAGTGGAGTCAATAGAAAAGACAATTTGGTGTTAGGCTCATTTAGATAGAAATAGAATTTGGAAATGTTTGACCCTCTTTTAGAATATAAGATAGTATCATTCATTGCATCGTGATACTGACCTTGCTCGTCGTAAATTCAATATTTTAACAATGGTAATTTTTCGCTTATAAACTCCAAAATGTCTTAAACCGTCTTGAAATTCCGACTGCCATGAAGTGACAGCCGTGCGGTTATTTTGAGTTGCTTCTACATCGACGTCACGGTAAAACTCGAACGTGTATCTATTGCTGTCTGATTGCTTGCAATTAATACGGCAAACCACTTAAAAGTAAAAAGGGCTTGGTTCACTAGTCTTTCCCGAAATTATCGTTTGTACGGCGATTAGTATAATACACAGCCACTATTTACATGACGTGGTCAGTACATGTATCGCTAATATTAGGGTTTTAAACAAAAAAAATTAAAATATAGGATGGAAAACGTCAATTCAAGTTCAGTATCTTTTTAACGAAGACTTGTAGCCGGAAATTTGACGAATGCGACTTTCCCAAATAAACGCGCTGGTCTCGTCTGAAATCGATATATCGGACGAAGAATATTAGTATCGTCGGTCGACACAGTTCGATAAATAAATTGCGAGCTTATTAAACAAGGCGTAATTATAGCCGGTGTACACCCCCCCCCCTTCCACTAATGGCAGTCGCACGCCCGTGCATTCCACGTAAAAGTACCATCAGATCATAAATGCTCTATTCGCTATCGGCGTAATACGGCATGCAAGTATCATTAAGTACGTAATGGAAGAAGCTGGGCACATGGCGCTTTCCCTGTCCGCACGTACGTCATATAGTCTTAGTTTTGGCTGGCTGCCGCGGATTGACGCTAACATATCAATTTAGTGACGTAGCTATGCTGACAACACAATCTGTTGTGTTCATTTCCAACTTGTTACTTCTGCCAGACGCCATCTTTCATTGGGGGTATTTTCTACTATTTCAAAACGCCGTCAGCTTCTATTACATATGCCAGGACGTCACTTGTGATGATTAATTTTATTGAAATTCGTATAAATATGTATAAAAAGCTTTTGAATTTAGTGCTCTGCTGATGTAGATTAAGTGAACCAAAAAACGAGTTGGCCATGGCTGCCTTCTCGGAGAAAGACGGCAGCATGTTTTCATTGAAAATAAGGCAGAAAGACCGAAGCGATTGGTTGGTCTTAACATAATCAATCGAACACGACCCTGCAATAGGTTTATTGATGAATCCAGGCCCCCAGGGTCCATCGCATCCACAATTAGATAATTCAACTAGGGGCTGTGGCGATAAATACGTATACACCGTTTGCAAATAAACACCATGTATTATTCACGATTTCGGTTGGTTTGGCAAATAAGAAGAAAAAAGGGGAAGATTTCAATAAACAGCTGTGAGAAATGATTCTTTAAAAAATAATATTTGTAATAAAAAATAGAAGTCTATCCGTTTTGGGGAGAAGTATTATTAAAAGGCCTCGTCTGCTGGGGTCATAAACGTAAGCGACATCATCATAAATTCTTCTCTCGATCACGGCGATCTCATTTGTATTTCAAACGGCAGTTGCAACCAAGCACCGTGAGATAAGATAAGGTATTTCAACTCTGTACCATGGAGAATTGTTATTCTTTATAATCACCGTGGGTTTTTATTGCACATAAGAGGTTTTTTTTTTTTTTTTTTTTTTTTTTTTTACAAAGTCGTGTTTCTCTGTAATTCATTATAATAAGTCTTTTGTATTTTTAAAACAAGTTACATAACTTAAGGTTAATGCCTTCGACGTAAAATAATATATCCTGCCAAATTATGACCACGACCGAAACTGGAAATCACCGTTGATTAATTTATTGTCATTTTTTCCCCGAGTTTGTCAGCCATCCTGGGAAATGAGCCTCATTGTGAGGGGAATGGTGGTTTAGGTTATATTCAGGCAGGATATATATATATGTTATCGCGTTAATAAATTAATTTGTTGTATATAAATAAACACTATTTACATTCAAACAAATATTACAACACTTCTACATGGAAAATTGCAAGTAACAAACAAATGAACAAAAACACCATCGTTTGTATATGTAATAAGACAACAAAAATTACAGTTGAACTTGAACCACATAAATCATATGTATATACAAACTACGTGGTTTATTAGTACTCGGTATCCGCACCATCACAGAACACTACAAAGGAGAAGCTCTCTCACCACGGAGGGGCGTAAAAGTTGCATCGAAAACCAAGCTTCTGGAAACCACCCAACCCGTTTGTTTATAGTAATTTTTACAAAAATATAGTACTATTTTCCCGTGCATAATAAGAGTCAGACACCTGCATTGAAAGACATGCTAAAATGCGGAGTATTGCTTTTTTTGTCGTTTGAACGCCCCTCTCTGTCGCATCGCTTTCTCCCCTCCGATTTACAATGGATTGACTGTTCATAGATATTGTTAGCGCATTGTAATCGGCACGCGTCACCCATAATACTGCCGATCGGTTAAATGAGACGGAGGCGGTTTCACAACTTAGGCTACTTCTTTTAAAAATATCAACGTCAACTGTACGCATGCCAATATGAGCCTTCCCTGCCCGTCTGTCACGGCTTTTCGTTTTCGTATTCGTCTCTCCATCGCCAAACGGATATAATTGCATCAGTTAAAATTAAAATAACAAAATCAATGTTTCTGACATCACATTACTTGTCGTTTCCTAATAATTAGTACGTTCATTCAAAGAAGATATTGCAAAATCCATTGAAGCAACTAGTTGTTGATTTCATTGTAACGTTGTTGTTGTTGTACGTCGACGTTCTGCACTGGCGAAAATTATGCGGCGGCACTGTGTTAGATTCAAATTACACCAAGCCGTACTTATAGATCCGTCGTGAGTTTAATTCTTTGACGCACACAATGAAACACAGTAACAAAGCTTTTCGTGGGGGTTTTCATATTTTTTTCGCGTGTCAAATGTCACATTTAACT